GGACTTCATTTGATGAGCGCGTGAGATTTTACGAGGAAAAAAAAAGGAAGAAATTACAATGCCGTATAAACGTGAGAAAAACTCGCTAGACCATCGCAATCCACGCGCACAGTATCGTTTGGGACAGGGCAAAGTCAGCGCGTTCAAGTCTCTCTCTAGTTCGCGATGTTTATCGACGGGTATATATATTCGCAAGTAGAATACTGACATACCCTGAAACGAGGACAATGAAAAACAAATGACAAGTACGCAGATGCTTTGTTTCTGTGCTTTTTCTTATATGTATTTTCCTCCCGTTTTGAGGGACACTTGTTGACTCGACATGGGTTTATCGGTGTTGACTTCTTACTATGCTCATATCAATATGTTTGAAAGTTGTACCAGTGGGATAAGAAATCTCAGCTCAGTCTTGATTAAAGTCTCTGTTAAAGTTGTATTAAAAAAAGACAACAATTTTTAAGTTCACGTATGTTTATTAAACTGATCGTTCCCTGCATCTACATTCTTTCATGTATGTGATTTTCATTTTGATGGCTAAAAAATACACACCATCTCGATTTTTAAAACAAGACGATTATTTTTTAAATTGGATCAGTGGTGAATGGATTATTTTTCGAAATTTGAAAGGTTTTTTTTTTTTGTTGTCAAAGGAAAGTTGTTATTCATAGTAAAAAGTATTTTCCAATTATTGGTGTAGAAAATCAGTGAAATCATGATTTAAAGGCTGCAAGAGGAGGTATTTAAAAGGGTATCACCTCAATTTTTGAGTGGAAAAATTCTGCCTTGATATTTACCAGAAAAGCTACTATATACCAAAAGAAAATAAAAGGGAAAAGAAACGTGGAGATGACACCGTTTTTTTCTGACACCAAAAATCTAAATAATACCATTTTAAATTAAAATTCGCCCAACGACTCTTTACCACCGAGGCGTCGATGCGCGCTCGGTAACACCAATCACAATAAATATATCACCATTTTCTCATTTGAGCTTCATCCCGCTTTGAAAAAAAAAAAAAAAAAAAAAAAAATGCAGCCAAGTGAGCATCAAAAGGCTCGTGAAATGTGCGAATTTTCGGGGGTGAAGCCGTCGTACACGCCNTATCTGCACACAGTGAGGGAGAGAAAAAAATTGCTAAACGAACCGCGCACGGAAAACAGACATCAGAGACTATCGTTAAAAAAAAAAAAAAAAAAAAAAAGAAACGAAAGAGGAATGGCAGAAAAGTTGCTCGCTCGTCCAGAAGAAGATCATTAATGCCCCGTACCGCTGCCACCACTGCCGTCTATCTCTCCTTTTCGATGTATGTACATATACTCACGCACATACGTCACAAAATAAGCAAAGGACTATACGGAACGTGATGCATCTCCTGTCATCCGGCTACTACCTTACACACACCCTCTCTCTCTCTCTCTCTCTAGTCAACCCTCGGCCGTATACGTCCATATAATATACACACACACAGTGCACACACCACAGCGGAGAGAAAAAGAATGCGCATTAATTTATACATATATCTGCATATACGCGCGCGCCATTGTCATGATAATGAGTCCGGAGAGCCAACCATCGGCTAGACTACTTATACGGCCGTATACAGTTTTGCCGCGCGTGCTCAGAGAGTCTCTGCTCTGCTTTTCATATGTTATATTAAGTATATGGTGCCTTACACACCTTTCTCGCACAGTCGCATCCTGCACAGTGCACAGCATATCACGAGCCAACGCTATATATACGTCCTGCACCTATACATGTACATGTATGGTAATATCATCGCTCGTGTGTACGTACAAAAATGTATTGTCGAGCTGCCTTTATCTTTCTCTGGTATCCTCCTTTATAATATGTACAGCCCCCGAAAAACCGGCAAGTAGATACATGTGTATATATATATATAAAATCAGTGATGTAGAGCAAATACGCGTTCACAACATCGCGAAACAATGCCCGTCGCGTATCAAGCCTCGTTCCTTCTCTCGGTGTCTGATATTCGCGCAAGAGATTGGATGAAAAAAAACAAAAAAAAAAAAAAAACAATCCTATTCGCATGTGTATAGGTACAAGTACATTATATGCACATTAGGTATTTTAATGCAAAATATATATATTGTTACGTATTGTTTAGTACATAGTACAATTGAAATGGGTATAATTAGCATCAGTGGCACGTGATAAACAATATCCTTTAAGTGTTTGGTTGTTTTTTTTTTTGATGAAAGGTATGGGTAGGTATGTAATTTACGAAAGTATAGTGGAACCACCTACTTGTGTACGTATGGATGGATTTGAATAAATAGTCTTGTGTTTTATACGGAGAGCACCAGAGCTCACCAATGATAAAAGCGAGGATGCACGGGTGCGTGTCGAATTGAGTATACGCAGCGAGGAAAACTCGGGTATACCTACATACCTATGGGAAAATCAAGAGCTAAGACTTGGGCTTACTTACTTCACGCAACTCCCGTGGTATAAGTACCTTAGAGAGAGAGAGAGAGAGACATAAAGTTTCTCGCTGGCAACGCGTAATTACATACCCAAGGGAACAAAACGTGTATGCACAACTTGTGCACGTATATGCAGAAGCAAATGCTCTTATATATTATTACAATAAGTACCTTGGATTATTCCGTCTTTTTTTGTTTCTACTCTGTACTTAAACGGTGAATCCTTTTTTTCCCCCCTTTTCCCTCCTCTCGCGCTTGTTTATCCTGGGCGTCATTTCGAGGCTCACGTATACGTATGACACTTTTCCTCATATTTTTTGTCCGCGTAAAACGCAAGCTGTTGCTACAAACCATTTTTTTTTTTTTTTTTTTTTTTTTGTTCCAGCCTAACGGGATACACGGTAATGTAGCGCTAAGGGACTCTTTTTTTCAGTAGGGGAAAAAAAAAAAAAAAAAAAAAAAGAAACTCCCCGTCAGCGTCACGATATGGGCGAGGAGCGTGTGTTTTTTGGAAATCAAAGAATGAGCCCGCATGTCAGATTTTACGCTTTCGTGTGTACGGAGGCACAAAAAATCACACGTAATCGCGCGAGGTGTCAACGTCTTCGATACGTATCAGCAGCCCTTACCCATGCAGCCGTATATAGGTACACCCCTATGAAAAACACTTTTCACCGACTGATGAGTGGCGCAGCTGCGCTATATACTACAGTTGTCTTATACACTTTTTATATACTATGTATGTACATGCATCGGAAGCTCCGCACGAAGACATCACCGTTGGATCTGTCGACGTCGAGATTTAACTTCATTCAGCCGTCCTTTCGGTTACTTCTCATCTACAATTATATAGATCCAGATTTTTACTCCTTTTTTTTTTAATTTTTTTTTTTTATTTTCAGTACACCCCCCGTTTAGTCTTGAAAGTTTATTGTCCCCAGAAACAAAATAGCCGCACAAAATAAAGCAATTCATAGAAAAAACCAAGTCCGAGGAGAAATGGCCTTTCTTTTTCCGTATACATCCCCGAAGCAGGCTTAGCTCCGATTTTCCCAAGAGTAGTAATAATAAAAAAAAAGAAAAAAAGAAAAAACCAATCCGAGAAACAGTACGACATATAGAACACGTATATATGTATAGCGAGAGAAAAACCCATCCGAATAAACGAGGGCGATAAAAAGGACGCGTATCGCTCGTCCCCTTGGCCCCGAAAATTGCGATCGACGAGTTTTAAAGCTCAAAGCTCGAGCCAGCTCGGCCGGGGTGAAAAAAAAAAAAAAATAAAAAAAATAAAAGTATTTTCGAGAGATCGATGCGAGAGCTAGAATATACGTATACGTAAGACAGGGGGGTGGGGGGCAGCGCAGCATCCCTCTCTCCCGCGCGCGCGCGAGAGCCATATATACACAATATATGTACACGGGGTGCGTTCCCCGAGCTCTCGCGCGTCGAGAAGAAAAAGCATCAGCCAAACATGGAGAACTAATACATAGCGCATAAAACGTAAGTATATATATTATGTACACCTATGTAGAAGAAGAAGAAGAAGAAGAAGACGATGAGAGAAGCAAGGAGGAGAGACGAGCGCGCACGCACACAGTGAGACGCGAGGGGTTGCAGGCGGCTGGCTGCTGCAGGGGCGGTCTATCTACCGATGGAGGGTTTCTCCTTCCTTTTCTCTCTCCTCCCGTGCACGCTCTATTATAATGCTCTCTCGGTGTGTTTGCGCGTGCGCTCCGTATGGTACACCCGGTTATTGCGGCTCTCTCTCTCTCTCCGCTCCTCCCTGGGACGGCTGCTGCGTGTGTGTATACGTGAGTGCGTCCTGGGTTCCCGCCACTATACGTTCATGCACGTATAAAATAATACACATGCAGACGGGATGACACCCGAGCGCACCCGAGTCGCGCCGAGCGGCCCCGAGGTGGAAACGCGGGCAGCTGCGAGGGAGAAAGACGGAGAGGGAAGCTTTACGCCACTGCCGAGAGAGAGAGAGAGGGAGAGTTTGTGTGGCGAGTGAGCGCCACGGGACAAAGAATATACTGCTCTCGCGAGTTGTGAGTGAGAGCGCGTGCACACAGTCAGCGCGCGGCGAGCACGCTCAGCACCACCGGGTCAGCCCGCAACCAAAGGTATACCGACGTATATATACCTATCGCACGTATATCCACGAATCTGCTCCAAAACTTTGTTTTTTTTTTTTTTCTTTTTCTTTTTCATTTTAATTTAATTTAAAAATCGGTTATAAAAAAAAAAAAAATAATAATAATATATGTATACATCCAAATTTGCATACAAAAAGTTACCTCGGAGCAACCCCCTCCTGCCTCGAAGGACCCCGTGCACGGTGTCACCCCTCGAGTGGTATGTACCACCGGTTACCGTAAAACACCCCTCGCGTGTCTTTCCTTCCCGCTGATCCCTCCTTCGGGGATGGGGGGGACCATGCAGTGCCGGTCCCTCGCTATGCACGCCTCCCCCGCATCGTCCAGAATAATCCCGGCAGTCGCGTGGACGGCGGCCTGCGGAGCTGCTCGCGTTGCGCTCCGATCAGAACACAATCTTATACCTTATACCTATACTACCTGTGATCATCGCAAGCATATAGTTTTGTGCGCTTGAGCGCGATACGGATAAGATGCAGCAATAGGTATACTTACTTGCTCGTATATACTTACGATTTTTAATAACCGGCACAAGTGCGCGAGACCACGACGACGACGACGACGACGATTATTGTGTGTGCGCGTCTTTTGTGTAAATCTGCAGTAAAAATCTACGTGCCCCGGAGCAATACAGTGTAGTTTTTTGTTTTCTTTTCTTTTCTTTTTTTTTTTTTTTTCTACTCACGATTAATTTTAATCCTACAATCCTGTGTGCCGTTTTTGCAGGAAACCAAAGAATCCAAAAGTGTTGTCCTGTAGTGCGGTGCTCGTAGCACCGAGATCGTTAGTATATCATATAATTATACATGTATAATACTTATTATACAGTAAAATTATATATATATCCAGGTGCAAGGGAGTATCGTCCTTATACGGACAACTGTATCAAAAGTAATAGGAAAAAAAAGTGGTGATGTTGGTGGTGGTGGTGGTGGTGGTGGTGTTGTTGATGATGCATATAGGCAGGCACGTACTTAGCGCGCGATCGCGTCCTGTGTGCGGATACGTATATGTGTATAAGCATTGTAAGGACCAAGACGCATGTAGGTATATATATATATGATGGTGTATACAGATGCAGGGGAGGAAAAAACGGCGTGGATATATTGTATACGAGTGCAGCGCAAGTGAGATTTCGGAGCTCGGGAGATCGCGAGCCGTCGATAAGGTTGCTGGCTCCGCTGATGCTGTGTGTTTTGTTGCAGTGCCTGATGCGATGTATACCTACACACACACACACACACACACACACACACACCTACATTATTATTAAGTGTGCAGCAACGTTCGCAGGAAAACACAACTGCTGCTGTACAGCACTTTCGCTTTCGTTTTCGCTCGAACGCGACCTTCCACCCGTATCTCTTTCTCTCTCTCTCTCTCTCTCTCTCTCTCTTTCTGTCTGTCTGTCTGTTGTTCTGCAGCGCTGCCAGATTTTCTTCTGCCGCTGTGTTCTGCGTCTCTCCTCCGTGTCTTACGTTCTGTACGTGTGTATATTATACGATGCCTCTTAAATCTTCTTATTACTCGGTTGCTGTACCCCACTAAATATATACATATATTTGTACGTGTATATATGTGTACACACAGTTTGGGGTGCATGTCGGATTTTCTCAAAAATTTTTCCCGTTTGTTCGGACTTTCCCCGTTACTCCACGCCTCCGGGGCCTTTGTTGCGTCAATTTTGCTTGGAAGCCACGCTCGGGTTTTATTGTCATACGGCCTTCCGAAATTACGGCTATGTACATTGTAAATATTGGCTTTCCCACGGTTTTCGGGGAAACAAACGGTCCCCGAACGAAATCACCTCCGAGCAAGTATCCGTCCACATGGACACGCAGGTGCAGCGAAAAGTCCCAGGGGAACCGATTGTAATGTGCGTATATACGTTGCACTCTCTTGTGGCTTATCATCTCTCGTTTCGGATACGTCTACCATCCACGAGGGAAAACATGTAGCGCGACATTTTACAGCCGGTAAAACAATGAAAGCAGCATCGCCGGGGCCAAATGTAATTAACGGGAAGGAAAAAGGGCTAATTAACGAAAAGACCGAGAGAGGAAAAGCAAGAAGAACCACACGCGGATAACGATCGCGTCGAGCGAGGAGAGGCAGCCCGAGATCCGCGTGGGATAGCCGATGGACGTGGGGCATCGCGCTCGCGCGTCTAAATCTTGCGGGTTTAAATTATTCCCTCGGCAGCAGCGGTACAGGGCCCGTTTTTGCTTCGATTTTTTTTATCTCCTCACCCTCCTCTCGGCTACTTTTTTTTTTCCCCCCCCTCCGCTCTTCTTATCCGGCGCGACACAAGGGAGCCGCGACTGCAGCGTTTCGGCCGGTTTGTTCCTCTGCCGGTGCTCCGGAACAGATCGAAGAAACCTGCTGCACGTATATACATAGGCTTGGGTCGCGGTCCGCGAGGAGAGAGGCAACAGCGACAGATTTACGGGCAACGCGCACAGAGAGGAGCCCTTAGGGCCCCGAATGCTATACACACCCCCGCTCCCTTCTTTTTTTTTTTCCTTTCGCTCGCCTCCCCCCCTCTCTCTCTCTATGCTTCTCGCCTTTGTTTTTGCCCGTTTCTTGTGCCGCCTCCTTAATTTTTCTTTTTTTTTCCCCTTGGCCTCTCTCTCTCTCTCTCGCTTCTTTTCTTCTAAAACTCCGCCGGTGCCTTCCATCCTTCCGAGGCTGCTCGCGTCCGATGCCTCCGATACCGAGTCAATTTAATCGAATACGCCGTTCGGTACGGATAATTGTTCGTTCATATGCATGTTATTCAAGTTCGAAAAATCTTTGAAGCCGAATGGCTTATGAGCTTGAGAGAGAAGAAAGAAAAAAATAAATCTCGGTTGGTTTTTTTTTTTTTTTTTTTCCAACGCTGCACCAGCGTTGTATTTAACGTTACGTCGGGGTACATGTACACGAACGATGCGTGTAGAGAGAGAGAGAGACGAGGTGGAGGAGGAGGCAGACGCGGGCCGAAGAAGAGGCCGCATTAATACGTGGTTTAGCGAACCAATTTAAATATCAGCGGCGCGCACGCAATTTTATATCATTTCCGATACGCGCTCTCTGCCGTTGCGATGGGCTTATTCGTGCTCTCTGTGGTGGTTTTTCTAAGGCTACGTGCCACCACTGACGCGTATACATTGTATTCGTTCACCACTTACATTACGGGTAATCGTTGTTTTTATTTTTTTTTTTTTATTTTTTTTTTTCGCTCCACTTTACCTTTCCGGCAAAGCTTCGTGCTCAATGCATACGACTTTTGGGGGTTCGGGGTGAAAGCTCCGAAAACGCTCGCGAGCTTTGGAGTACATTCGGTAGGGCGTACAAGCGCACACACCCACGTGTTTCTAAACAATTCGCTCACACTTGCACACCTTGTATCGTATACCAGTACACCGTACAAAAAACCAGTATGTATAGGAGCAAAAGGGATATCACGGGTTTCTTGTATGTACCCCATTATACGGAGAGAAATGTACATGTATAGCAGCAAAGATGCGAAGATTGCGAAGCTCACGAAAACGCGAAACGAAATTATAAGAGTGTATATGGGAAGACACGCAGAGAGAAAAAGAGCGGGTGTGTGTGTGTTAGCGCATGCGCGAGAATGTGTGAGCGTTGCCGTGGTGTTGGTTGTATGAGGTCGTGTGCGTGTGGGACCTTGAATCAAGCCATGGCATCAGGCCTTTGTCGCGAGCACCACCACCACGAGGCCGGCGAAAGTGTACCCGAAGCTTTTTTGCTCCCATAGTGGAGAGCGCACGCGGTCTCTTTCTCTCTTTTTTATTCCTTCCCTTTTTTTTTTTTTTTTTTTTTTTTTTTTTCCATCTTTCCTTTCTCTTCTTTATTCATTTTTTTTTTTTTACTCCTTTCTTGCTGCCAGTATAAGTATATTTTGCTCACGGATGCATGCGCGCGCGCGTGTGTTTCTCCTCCCACCCTCTATGTATGGAGCTCCTTTTCGAGGGCACGAGCTCGCTTGCATGCATATATATGTACACACCTCCACCCATAACACATCAGCGTCTCCGTTGTTTCTTGCGATTTTTACTTGCGCGCATAACTGCGGAATTAACGGCTCTGACTCTGCTTGCATTTTTGGTACACTTATAGAATAGCTCTATACATATGTATATTTATATGTGCACTCAGCGCGGGGGGGAGGAGCGTGTACATACAGCCACGCTTTTGGGGAGGAGGGACGCACATGTTCGCCACTGATTTCCATGTTTTTTCTCATTTTCTTTTCTTTTTTTTTTTTTTTTTTTTTTTTTTTTTTTTTTTTTTTTTTTTTTNTTTTTTTTTTTTTTTTTTTTTTTTTTTTTTCCAAACACCCGTTGTCGTTGACACTCGACGATAATTCTTTCGGATTATCGTACACTCCAACTCTACCCGTATAACAACTACGTAATGTCAAGACTTTTTCTAATCTTGCGCTTCTTTTTTTTTTTTTTTTTTTTTTTCCCCCGAGCAGCATTTAATTCGACGATAAGAAAACAGAGAATATTCACATTGCTGAGATAACGCGCGAGAGGGGGAGGGGGAGGGACTCGAGAAATGCAGAACATTTATCGGAAAGCTCTTGGAGATATTTCAATAATCGGGATACCTCGGGAAACGCTATAGCGCCTTTGCCTATATTTACCACCCCAGGGACGGGAATATTCGAGTTTTCCCGCATAATTGTATACGAATAACAAAATAGCGACGATGATTTTTCCACCCCTCTTTCTCGGACAAACATTTAACAAAACGCAACCCCCTTTGTATACTCGAAAAAAAAAAAATAAATAAATAAATAACAATCAACCCCTCGCTCTTTTACGCAGCGTTTCATCATGAGCATGTGGAACATTCGATACGCATCAATGCAAATGTATATTATCTCTATTATTATAGTACGTTATCTCGCAGTATTAAGCGTTAACCACCACCATCGCGCATCGCACAAAATAAGATCATGGATTTTCTTTATACGGGATTTATAATATTATATGGAGCTTATCGGCAGTCGTCTCTGCCGATATCAATTCCCATTGTTAGCGAGCGCTATCGAGGCGACGAAAGCGCAAGATTGTGCATAATGTATATACATACGAGCGGGAGCGAAGAAGGGAGATTTCGTGCTGCATGTAATATAACGTAGAGCATGTTGTATATCCCTCCCGCGGACACGCGGAAAGAGGGAAAAGAGAGAGAGAGAGCGTGCGATACGCGGCGCGCGACCTTGTGGCCGTGAAGACCGAGCACGTGGAAAGCGGGACGAAAGTATATATATATACACATGTGTGTGGCTTTCCAGCGATAGCGAAAGCTCCGGGCCCAGCTGCTACGGAGCCATTGTAGCGCTGCGCATGTATATGTATGTACCATCACCCCGCGAGACTTTCCGGCGGTGCCGCGCAGCCTCCGCTGTATACTCATCCACATGTGTACGCGCTGTATATGGGTGTAATGTAGCTGCACACACCGACGTCCGTGCATAGCGTGTACCTTATACGCAGTGTCTCTCTCTCTCTCTCGCGGGTTGGGCGGCCTCCAACCCCCGCTCGGCCGAAGAAAGCGAGAGTCGAGCTTGCACGCGCGCTGTACAGCCTCCCGTTCGATCGATATTTTATACCCACCAGCTCCATCCTCCCTTGGCTCGTGCATGTATTTCATACGCACGCACAATATATTATAATACACTGCGATTCGACGGCGACTCCGAGTTGCAGTGCACACGGCCGCGCGTACATATATATATATGTATACATGGTGTGAAAAATTATATCGTGTCGAGCTAGGGTTTTTTTCCGTTATTTTCTGGAATCGACGCCACTCGCATGGTTTCAAACGGGGGACAAAAAATTACTTGTTTACTAGAGTATATATGAATCGACGCACGAAAAAAGGAAGAAAAAAAAAATTAATCCCGAATTCCGCCGGCGTTTGGACTTATCAATGAGAGTATTCGGCTCGTGTAGCGTCACCCGTCTTATCGCGCTGCGTGGCTTTTCATTTACATAAACATTGGACTCGTGTACGATGCGTGTACACCTATTATATAGCCTTGGCGTATACGGAGATAACTCATTACAGCGTGTCCACTTTCATGGGTGTTTTGTCATGATGCTTTGTTGTACTTACCCTTTAACAGATAGTAATATAATTATACCAATACGTGAACGCGCGATATCTCTGACAAGCTTATGTATCTACCCTCGGGCAGGTCTACAGTGACGTTTGATTTTATGACGAGTAGGCCCATTTACCTTTTTTTTTTTTTTTTTTTAATGAAAAATTTCTTTTTCTTGTGTTTCAGATCGTACAAATCAACCGCCTTCAAACAAGCCACATTAACCACAAGTGATTTATATTTTCTTACGAAGAGCGCCAGAGAGATAGAGAGTGAGAGGAAAAAAAAAAAAAAGTGTGTGTTTGTATAATAAAAACAAATAAAAAAAAAATAATAATAATAATAATTGCCACAAAGAGCTTACACGTTTACGGCAGAGAGAAGCTATAGAGTATAATCAATCGACTTAGCAACTGAATGTACAAAAAGATTTTGCGAACAAGTCCGTTAGTGCCAAACCGGAGGAACGAGAGAGAAAAAGTGAGTTTTATTGTTGATATAAGTGAAAGTTGTGTTGTTGGTAATCAGAGCAAAAAAAGAAAAGGACGAGCACTCAAGTGTCATTTACACCCCAAGCCAAAGAATTTTGCCATTTTTCTTACTAAACCCCCCCCCCCGCCGGTCAGCTCCGCCTATCTCCGTTGATGCGATTTTTGATCGACGCCAAGGACTGTTGTTTCCCGCGAAGCAAGTGCAAAATTCTTGATGAAAAATAATACGGATCAACTTCACTTTGTAGCCTAAACCTGTTGAGTACAAACGAGAGACAAAAGGAGGGATAATAAGTGTACCGCCGCGAGAAATCCATGTGATAGTGAGAAAAAAGTGGAAAACACAAAAAGCGACGGAGAGGCGGGCGTTCTCCGTATAAATATACACAAAGACTGTACAGCGAAGAATAAGAAGAAGAAGCTAAGATGATTCGCAACTGCAAGCAGTGAGGCCATTGGTAGAGTGAACTAGCCCCTGTCGAGGAGGAGAGCAACACTGACGACGACAACGTCGAGGGTAGCAGGTACGACGCCTGGCGGCTCTTCTGGGAGCGGCCAGAGCAGCCGCAGCCCGTGGCCTACCAGGGCTGCGCGGCTCGCCAAGATGAGACGCGGAAGATGAGCATCGAGCAGAAGCGGGAGTCCCCGGTCTCCCCCGAGAGGAAGCAGCCCCCGGCCGACGGCGACAGTAGCCCTCCCCGGGTGGCGGCGGCAGTGGCCACGAGCTCCTCCCCGGGCCGGCAAGGGGAGGCCGCGCGCCACCTGCCCCCCTTCGGAGCTGCCTTTGCCCACGGCGAGCTCGACCACCACCACCACCAACAACAACAGCAACAACAGCACCAGCAGCAGCATTCCCCGAGCAGTATGGACGGAGTTGGGGGTGGCGGGATCGGCGGTGGCTTCGGTAGCTTCGCCACCAGCCACGAGCAGCTCGGCCCGCCCATATACGAGGCCTTTTGCTACGAGGGCCTGGGCGGCCGGATCATCGACGATCGGTTGCGCGAGATAGCCGGCTACACCCGGCCCTGGGAGAGCAAACACGACGGCCTGCCCAGTTTCGCGACCCTCAGCGCTACGCCGCAGTACGCGAGCGCGGCCACCACGGCGGGGGGCCAGGACGGCAGTACCGAGCCCCAGCTGACGATCCTCCAGCCCTTGACGCCCCACTCGCCGTCCCCGCTGACGCAGTCGCCGCCGGTCACCGCGACCGGTGTACTGCCCAGCTTTCACACGCTAGGGCCCGCCGGTGGCGTCCAACAGATCGCGACCGCGGTGCCCGTCGTGCCCCGTGGCCCACCCCCGGGCCTCGGTTACGCGTCCCTCGGCCACGTCATGGTCCAGCAACCACAGCAGCAACCGACGTCTCTGCAGGGCGCCCAGCAGCAACACCAACAGCACCAGCAGCAGCAGCAGCAGCAGCAGCAGCAGCAGCAGCAGCACCAGCAACAGCAACAGCAGCAGTCACAGCAGCAGTTGCAGGTGGACGAGCGCCACCTGGTGGCCGCGGCGGCGATGCAGGGGTACCACCCGACGGTGGTGGCGGGTCCGGGTTTGGTGCAGCATCCGCACCACGCGGCGGCGGCCGCGGCGGCGGCCCATCATCACGCGGCGGTGCTCGCGGGCGTCGTCAAGCAGCAAGAGTTCGTGGCGAGCATAAAGCAGGAGTACCCGCAGTTGCACCACGCGAATTTTCAAAACCCGATGTCGACGGTCCTGGTGGAGTCGTCGCCGAGTTCGCGGCCCGCGGCGGTGCTCGCGGGGCCGGACGGGCGGAAAAAGGAGCGGCGGAAAATACGAGCCGGCTCGATGGACTCGGAGGACGGCCGGCCCGGATCCGGCCCGGGCGTCGAGAGCTCGGGCCAAGTGGCCGCGGTGTCGTCGACGGCGGCGGGCCGGGGTGGCCATCACATGGGCAGCGGCACCGGCGCCGGTATGCAGGACGGGGACGCCGACGGGGGCGTGATGGGCGACAAACCGGCCAAGAAGAAGCGCAAGCGTTGCGGCGAGTGCATCGGCTGCCAGCGCAAGGACAATTGCCAGGACTGCGCGCCCTGCAGGAACGACAAGAGCCACCAGATCTGCAAGATGCGACGCTGCGAAAAACTCACCGAGAAGAAGGTTAGTGACATGCCCCTATATACTTTGATTTTGTACGCATGTCCAAGGTATACACCCCGTGATTTTAAAGCTGTATCCATATATACCGTTTGAGGGTCTCTCGCGACGGGGAAACACGTGGGATGCACCCCGTGACGGGGGGTCGCGGACCTCTCCTACGTATAAATATATATACACAAGTCCACACATTCAACGTGACCCGCGCATCATATCGTTATGACAGCCGTAGGACGGTCAGTCACGCGAGGATCGTCCAGCCAAACAAACGAGACCCTATACTACTCCCTCGACTCATTGCTACAGTGATTTAGCGACGCTTTATGGGTATATATATATAGGTACGCAGTCTGGTATACACGGGGGGTTGTAGTATATATGTGTATACCTACTCGTATATCGTGGGTTTATATACACCGTAGGTATATATATGGGTGCGCACGCGACTCGTCGCGGCTATGTATAGCCTGAACTTGGCCCCGATGTGCCGGGATGTGCGCCGATTCCAGAGGGAAAGACAGAAAGCAACAGTAGTAGTAGAAGAAGAAGAAGAAGAAGATAACCGAGCGGGAGGGCGACCGAGACCCAATCCTCCTCTCCCTCCCTGCGTGTATACTATATTGCAGTGACGTCAAAATGGAGGGTAAGTCAGCGGGCGCCTGCACTACAAGAGGAGGAGGAGGAGGAGGAGGCAAATACACACTGCCCGGGTTTTCGGGCTTAGCGATCAGTACCTGCGGTATTTGGGTATACATTGGCGCATCGGTCGATGCCGTGCGACTGCCTCTTCGGAGCCTTACTTACGTAAATGTATTTGTACTGCAAAAGATAATCACTCTCTGGGTTCAATGCACCACTCGAAGGTTCTTTTCTTTCTTTATTTCTTCCTTTCTTTCTTTCATTTTTTTTTCTCCCCCTTGGCGATGATAATGCGGCAACACTTTACGTCACTCTGCACCGATGGCCTTTTCACAAGCTCCGAGATGTATTTAAAGATGTCGCGATCGTTTTTGTTTTCATCTATTTTGTTTTATACCTTTATATACGATACTCATCATATTCTTATGTACAAAAAAACACAGTATTTTCGTTTTTACGTAACGCTTACGTTGTTCTCGCTGTTTTTTTTTTTGGCACAGCTTATGCACAATATATTTTCAACGACACGTATCAATTGCTCCCGAAAGCGTCAACAAATGATTCATCGATATCGTATAGTAGCGATACTCGTCATTATTCATCCAATTTTTTAATTTTTTTTTCACCATTCGACGGAAACGACTTTTACATCTAATTGTAGATTAACCGATGCAGAGCCAAAACTCTACAGTCGACCCCTCCAAATTAAACTTTTCACCCAACGACTGCGGGGGGTTGGTGAAACTGTATTTTTTTTTTTTTTTTTTTACTTTTATTTTCTTGGTTAAAAAAAAGCAGAGTAGAAAATTTTCAGCAATTAATGGCGGCAAGGGAGGAGAAGTCCTGTGGCAGCCCAAAGAGAGAGCGAGTCATTAAAACTCTTTGCTCGGCTTGGCAGAGGAGCCCAAAAAGCAGCGGTAGGGAAAAGTTGTCGAGAGCGAGCGAGAGTCTTCTCTCCTGGCGGACAGTTAGAAGGGCTCGATTATTGATCGGAGGCTCTGGCCCGCGCAACACATCACAAACGCACGTTGCTCTACATATATATATACACACATTGGTTCTGCGTACATCTTCTTAGCTCCGCACTGTATCAGTTACGTGCTACGCTGTTTTTTTTTTTTTTTTTTTTTTTTTTCACCAATACTACACAGCTTATAGCGGTACAGTCAATCTCAAAGGTTAGTTTTAGTTGAAAAATTTTTTTTTTTTTTTTTTTTACATATTATATCGTAGTGCAAGTTCAAGGCAAATACACGACGGGTCGCAATAAGTGCGCCGAATTTATGTTTATTCACACAATCCCAACTTTTTTCCCTCTCATCTCGGCACTTACTCGCGCAACAGTGCATGGGTTTGTACCTATTCGTACGATCATCGCGCGATCGCGTGGATCTCCCGGTAATACATTAGTTTTTTCCCAACGATGTACATAGGTAATTATTGTATTACAGTTACATTCATTGACGATCGATTCGATTGCGCGGCCACACCGTGACTGTACAATATATATGTATACGTACGGCTGCGAGTGATTTTTGCGAACAAACAAATCAATTGTGCTCTCGCAGTGGTGCGTCTCTGCTCCTATACACATGTATACATGCACACGCTCGGTCGATTCGGTTTTTATGACTCACGTAATAATCCGGCCAACGGTCGGCCGGAGCTCTCGGAGAGCCGTGACTCGCGACGGATCGCACGGTCGGGACCGAAATTTCGGAGGAAAAAAAAAAAAAAAAAAAAATCCCACTCGCTCTCTGCGCGTTGGAACGGGACTGCACGTAATAACACGGACCAATGTCCTTTTTTCTTTATCCTCCCGAGCGGCCGGTTCGCACGTAACTCTCTGGGTGTCATCTGTGCATTATGCAACTGCTCGCTCTCTCGATTGAGATAAAAAAAAAAAAAAAAAATCACAACAGTAACCACACGGCTTCTGCACTATAGCTCTTGTTTATTCGGCTCTACATTTATACCTATATATAAAATATGTATATCCTCTTTAATAATGGGATTGTAATTTTTTTGAACATGGAAAACAAACAGGAGAGCAAACACGCGGAGAGGAGCAGATGTTGCGGCAGTGCAAATATATACCATAGAATTTGTATTGGTATATATACATATATGTATTTAAATACAGCTATGGAGCATTGGGTGTGTGTGCTTGCATGTGTATGTATGTATATACCCTTCGATAAATATACAGTAGACGACAAATGAAATTCGTCAAAGACGCCGGAGCGTCACCTCGTATTACCAATAATCGATAAGCACAATGGCACTTTTCAAACGTAACAGCCCCTCCGTGAGTGTATATACTATGTACTTACGTTATATATATATATGTATTTATATACACGATTTGGAATGACAATAACAGTACAGCTGCCTCCAGAGCAAACATCTTTATTTTCCTTTCATCTCGTTTTCACGAATCAAACTCGTCATGCGTACAGTTTCGTTTGTTTAAAAAATATACGAGCATGACATAAAAAAAAAAAAAATATATATATATATATTTTTATGTATGTCGTAAACATCACTTTGTATATATTATGTAGTCCGAAATTCGCAACAAGTCGACGAAACCCTGGATAACAAATGGGGGATATTGGCCAAGGGATTTGGATAAAAAGAAAAACGAATCGATATAGCTCGGAGTACGTAGGTGCACTACAATGACGGATTTCCTCCAATGTCCGAAGAAAAGGAAGTCGATGTAGCCCAGACTTGTATACGACCCATGCGGGGTCCGCTCGTGAGCCGTCACAACAAACCACCCCTGCACTCCGGGCAGTAGTACAGCTTCACCCTCCTCCTCATCCCGAGGGAAGATTATCGCTCATCCTGCCGGGATATATATATATATTTTCTCTCCCTCCTCCTTTGTATAGGTATCCATACATATATATGTACGTACTCCCTCGCTCCCACATTATCTCGCCAAAATAATAACACGACGAAGCTGCGGGGAAGTCGGGCGCCGGTCGTGCACCCCATCCACTATATATGTATACGTGTATACACGCGGACACCTGGTTAACCAGGTACACACTGTCGAGAGGGCCCACCCACTCTTGTTCCGATGAACGAACGGTGGCGCTTTTGTGTGTACTATACTCCCTCCCCCATCCCCCTCTTTGCCGTGCTCCGATTTTATCAACCGGCTCTCGGGTGTACACCATTTTTCCTCGCTCTCATTACGATAATTGTTACCCGATGCAACTGTAATTTTCATCCTTATCTGATTTTTATTTTTCTCTCCTCAAGCCGCGCTCCTCGGGGCTCCACCTTTGGACCTTCCTCTTGGATCTTGTTTACTCAAGATGCGTACACATGCGCTATCGCCTTGTCTTTTGTATACGTATACCTTTTACACGCGAGATTTATATCTCTTTGGTACAAGATCATGAAAGGCTCTTGGTTTTTTTTTTTTTTTTATTTGATCCTCCTCTTTTTAGTCGTTTAACATTATTTAATGCGTTGTAGGGTACCAAAAGTACTCCAGTGGTGATTGGGTCTTTTGAATAAATTATACCCATTACTTCGCTGATACTTCATTTTAGCGCCACACAACGAATGTTGTGACGCGTGCGATGCAATTTCTTACTGTTTACAGCATATTTTTATCCGTATCCACGAGCAGTAAATTAAAATGGTACTCGAAGATTACTCGTAATTGGAAAAATGCAGTCTGTAATATCGAATCCAAGATGAAAATAGACTCAATCTCGGCATATTTTTCTTGAAGCCTTTTACTGTACGCCAATCGCGTGTATAGAAAAAGAAATCATCGGATCGTCATTGTAAAATATCAAAAGAAAAAGGAGCTCCTGGAGCTCGTGTGCTGCGTAGGATAATAAAGTAATCGTGGTCGCGGTGATAAATGTGCTCACAATCCCTCGTCAAAGTATGGTGTCAATGAAATTTTCTCCCTTGAATTTTGCACAGTAATTCTTCGGCCGAAAAAATTCGCGATAAAAAAGCACACTCGAACAAGTCGAAACACAGACATTGAATTTCCCAACGACGGACGATAACGCGCACACGTACACACTATCGGGGTGAGCTTTTCTTTTTTTCCCCCCCGCGCTGCTCATTGTTTCTCGGCGAGTCGTATGAAAAACTTTTCTCTCGATGGTATACATATATACACACAAACAACAAATCACACGCGCTCGAGATAAAAGAAGCACACAACGCAAATGTCATCGCACCGCGGAAAACGCAACGGAGCCTCCGCGCACGTGTACTCCTACGTGCGTGCCAATGAATATATATACTTAGGTACACGCTAGCGCCAACAACAGCAGCGACGAGAGAGAGTTGGTTGGCCTTTTCTCGAGATAACCCTGAAGAAC